ATGAATCAGAACCATCCTCGGTTTCAGCAATAGGCATCTCTCTCTCTCTCTCTCTTGTATTACTACGAAAACCTAGTACTTGGTACTATTTGGCATCTGTTACGAAAATATATTTTTTTGTCTTTTTATTTTTTTAAATCATATTATTTGTCTATTTTTTTTACACATACTTTTATAAAAATTCAAAATATATATTTATTTAGATCATTTCAAATATTTTTTTAAAAAAATTAGCTTTATTTTTTGATTTTTTTTTATTATTTTAACTTGGTTAAAAAAGTATTGTTTGAGAATTTTTTTTAATAATTTTATGAGTTTTAACTTGGTTAAAAAAGTATTGTTTGAGAATTTTTTTTAATAATTTTATGAGAAAAAATAAATTACTATAATTTAAATATAATATTTTATTTTATTAATTTTTTAATTTATTTTATCTTTTAGTAAACTAATTTAAGTCCAACTAAATTCCCAAATGAAGCCTTATTTACATCAACAATACTACCCTTAATTGAATAGCCCATTATGATTCATCGCTTGTTTTGGTAAGCTTTGAAATTAGCTATTGCAGATAAAAGTGGGACTTCTATTTACACCAAAAAAGTTATCAGGGATTCTTAGCCCCGTTTGGGGACTTATCTTTTTAGTCAAAAAGTTAAAAAATTATCTTTTTAGTCAAAAAGTCAATAACTCATACTAAAAAGTCAAAGATTCTCTTTTCTCTCTACTTTTTGCATATCTTTTCGTAATTAGCCAAAAAGTCATCTCAAACATATAAGTTTTTTTTACCTACTTTTTTAACCAAATAACCAAAAAGTTACTAAATTAGCCTGTTCTCAAACGAGGCCTTAGGGTTGGTTTCTCCTAGCCTAAAAAAGATAAAAAATTAAAAAAATATTAAAAAAATTAAAAAGTTATCACTATTTATATATATATATATATATATATAAAATAAAATAAAATAAATAAATTTACACAAAAAAAATACAACCCAAGAAGTCATTGACGTGATGGTACAGTCTGAACCAGATGGTACAAATTACATAATCGGCTGCACAAAAAACTTTACAAAGAACGGCGTTGTTCGGTCCGTGGGGGCACACCACGGGTCCTGTTTTGATAATTGGAACCGTTTAATGTGTAGAACTCGTCGAGTACTATATATTTATAAAAGATCACGTTGATCGGATATCCATAGCTATGTGATCAAATCAGATTTTTTTCAGCCGTTTATTTTTAATCATCTATTTTTTTTATACAAAACTGATTTGATCACATAGCTATCAATATCCGATCAATGTGATTTTTTATATTTATATATAGTACTTGATAATTTCTATACATTAAACGGTTTACATTATTGAAATGAGACCCGTGATAAGCCCTCCAGTCCGATAAAAGACTAAAGGAAAGACTCATCCTATATACTCCCTCCGTCCCAAAATATTAGTCTCTTATTCCATTTTTCATTGTCCCAAAATATTAGTCCCTCTTTATAAATCAAGTACAAAAATAATGTAAATTTCCTATTTTGCCCTTCTTTTTAATTAATAAACAATTTAAAAAGTACAATTATGACATTGATATTCTCAAAAAATGTACTATCAAAAGGGTAATTTTGGAAAACCAACTTTTTTCAAATGCAATAAGTGTACTACCAAAAAAAGTTGGATTCCCCAAAAGGGACCAATATTTTGGGACGGAGGGAGTATATAAATCTGAAGCGTGTCTGCCTCCCCCACACAATTCAAAGCATTCCGTAATGGTTCCTTCAATAGTCACTGGTGCTATGCATAGGGCATAGGCATAGGGGTAAAATGGTGATTTTATTATTTTATATAATATTTTAATACACATTTTTTTATAAAAAGTCAAAAAATTATCCCAAACAATCATCTTTTTTCTCTCAACTTTTTAATTCAAAAAGTATACTTATTTAAAACATTCCAAACAACCCCTTAATTAATTTTGGTAACTAAAAAAAAAATCATTTTATTAATTTATTAACTTATTTGGATCATATCTCTTCTTTATTTTTTTTATATGTTTTTTGTAAAAAAATTTAAAAAATAGACTTTTTTTTCTTGCTTTCCAAAATAGATTTTTAAGTACACCTTATTTAATTATTTAAAATTTTATTTTACTCTCATTACATCTTATTATTTTTTTCAAATTACTCTTAAGGTAAATCCAAATGATAAATAATAAATAATAAACAAACTAAAAAAACTAAAGTATTTCAAATATTTTCAAGAACGCTACTACAGACCCTCACTAGGGGTCGACCCCCAATGACGTGATGGGCCTCCATTGGCCAGTTTTCTTTTTCTTTTTTTTTTTCTTTTCTTCCAATCCTGCAGTGCCACGTGGCACTGGGGGGTCGGTGGGGGTGGGGTTTACTGGGGGTCTGGCGCATTTTTGTATTTTCAATACAGAAAATAATTCTCAAATACAGAAAAATAAACAAACTTATATGCACATAAACATTATAAATACAGAAAAAATCAAACTTTTATATAAGCATTATAAAACTTTTCAATAAAGAAGGGGAAAAAAAATTTACATCATAAATTATCCACAAGAATATTCGTAGAAAAGTAAAAATCAAACTTATAAGCATATAAACATTAGGCACAACAAGAAAGAGTAATTCTTAAATAATGTACTATTTAAATGACAAAATAATAACAACTCCAATAATATGTTATTGTTAATTTAATTACTGAGTCCTTTAATTTTTGTTAAAAAAACGATATAAAAAATAATTAATGGTTCTCTACAAAAATTGTGAAACCCCTTTATATGAATACTTACCTCCTGTTTGATGGGTTACTTCAAAAAATTATTTTGATTATTACTCTTATCCATTATTTGATTTTATTCAAACTTTTTTTTAGGATTTAGGGTTTCAAAATAATAAAAAAAAACAATAATGTTAATAATGATAGTGAGTTTTAGTAAGGTGAATTAGAATTTTGGAGAGAGAATGAAAATGAAGAAGAAATAACTTCAATCTCTTAGGAAAGAAGATATAGAAATTTGAATATGAATAACTAATTATGGTGTATTATGAGAAAAAAAAATATTTTGAAATTTAATATATGTTATCTTTGTTAATAAATTTATACGAGAATATACATTAAGAATTAAAATTTATAAATTTAAATTGAGATATAATTTTGATTCAAATAGAATCCCTATGAAACTGAGATTATCAAAATACACTGAAAATCTCGAAACGGGTGGACTACGCGCCCTCTTCAGAGAGGTTATGGTGCACTGTTGCACACACAATTTTTTTTTCTGTTTTTTTTTTTAACAATGACAATATAAAATGAGTTTTTTTTTTTATTATTTATTTTTGTAAATTACTGTTATAAGTGTCATGGTGAGTTGGCTGGGATGTGGAATCACACATTAGAATAACCAAAAATTAATTAAAATAATAAGAAAATTTTATGCATTAAAAATTTGTGTAACATAGGACAAGAATTTTGAGATGAGAATAAAACTTTACAATAAGGTCTTAAAGTGGAGTTGTTGGCTATTTTTTGAGAATCTATACTCATGGTGAGTGGGGTGACATTATGAGTTAAGATCACATCATGAGCATGCCCTTTAATAATAATAAAAAAACTTAATATATTTGGCTGAATTTTTAATTTTTTTTTAAAAAAAAAATTACACACTAGTTTAACAAAAATAAGCACAAAAAATTATTTGTAAATTTCTATACTTGTTTTCATCCCAAAAAAAGAGAAAATCATATGAAAATATTGTGTTTTTTAATTTTTCATTCTTCTTTTCACCAAATTCTAGAAAAACAAACTTTATTTCTAATTTTAAATCACTTTATTTCCAATTATAGTTATAATCTCCCTCTGATTTAGGTGTGTCTTCTATTGTAAGAACAAGGTTGAGTTTATTCTATATTATTATTAATAATAAATAAAGACAAAAATTCTGTTTGGTGTGAACTAAATTTGAGGCTTAAAATTGTCAAAAGTTGTTGAGGAAGGACAATTAATAAACCAATCTGAATAAAGAGAAAAATAGATGAGTTATAGTGGAATATCTTAGATAAAATTAAATAAAGAGCTTTTAAATTTTTTTTATATTTTAAAGTCAATATAAAATTGCATGTGACTTTCGACAATAATAAACCAATCTGATAATTTATTTTTGGTTATGGTTTTTCAGCTTTGACTTGGGAGTTTGGAGAGGTGGCCTCCCCCAAATCCTGCATCCCTATGTAATAAATCAAATATTCTATTTTCAATAATACTGGAGGCCATTAAAAGTGGTGTTCTAAAAGCACCACCAGTGATATGGCAATAGACAGGACCCACTGCTTGTGTCTTGGTTTTTTTTTTTTTAAGGAAAATAAGTGAGAGCACTAATTAGTGCTATCACTAATGATGTGACAGTGGCCCCCACCATGAATGATTTGATGTTTTGGCGTTGGTGTTGTATTTTTTTTCTTTTTTTATTGAGTGTCATGTCATTAGTGGTCTTTTTAGAGCTCCAAAATTAATGGTCTCTATCATTGTTGTTTTTTTAAATGCTTGCCAGTGCTTTAGAGTACCACTTTTAGTGGGATGTATCATTACCCTTCTATTTTATATTTCTAAGTGCAAAAGATTCTTTAATTTTATATGAGTATAAAATACAATGATCCGTAAATTATGCCCTGCTTGAGAATAAATGAAAGGAAAATAGAGTGAATTTGACAGAGCCCAGTAACATAAAATAATTGCCCAGCCCATATTTAAAAAAAAATAAAAAAATAAAAAAATTGCTTCGCTATCCCCATCACCATCATATGAAAAAAATTATCCCCAATATTTCATCTTTTTGTAAGTTTTGAAAAATATTTTTTTCCTAATTTAATAAACATTTAATGAAACAATTAGCTATGAATTTTAAATACCTTTTATCAAATTTAAATTTGATAAGAAAAAAATAAAAAATTAGAGATGCACTTCAGTTAAAAATGGGTTAAATTAAATTTTATTGGTAACTACAATTCCCTCTTCCCACCCTCCCTTCCTCTCTTTCTCTCTCTCTCTATAGAGCAAGCACAGAGACATTTGCAGCTCAGGGCAAAAATGAGTTCACCAGTTTTACAGGTGGTACCATTTGCTACCAAATCCACTGAACTCAGTCTAGCTTCTCTTCTATGGAGAAGAACAAAAAAACCAACACTAATTTCTTTATTTTCAAAAAAAAATTCTAGACACAGTGTTTCACTAATTGTTTGAATTGTATTTGTAAATCAGGGTTTCACAAAATCCCTTGCTATGACTGTGGTTTCTGAAATTGGTGACCGAACATTTTGCATTGCCGCTGTAAGTTTGACTGTTATCCTTACTTTTATTTATTTATATATTTATTTCTATATGTTTTTTGGATTGAAAAGAAAAAAATAATAATTTAAGTTTCAAACACAACCTTTTAACTATTTGTTATTGGGTTTTTTTTTATGAAACTAGTAGTTTTTCTTTAGCTGACTCATTGTGGCCTTGTAAGATCTTAGCCATGCGTCACCCAAGAAAGAGCGTCTTGTTTGGCTGCCTGTCTTCTGTGATTGTAAGTTTGTTTCTTTCCTTTTGTGCGTGTGTGTGTGTGTGTTTTTTTTGCTGAATTATTGATAAAAATGTAATACAAAAATTGTTAAGAGCAAAAAAGGTACTTGAATCTTCAGATCTAGCCGCCTCCAGGGATCCTGTCGATTTCTCCGGCTATGAGGTTGTGTTTTCCATTTTTATTTTTATTTTTTGGTAGTTTTTTCTTTGCTTTTTGGCTTAGGTGTGTTTTTTGGAGTCCATCAATGCTAGGCTATGAATTATAACTTATGATCTATCTTAGACGTACTTTATAGCCGATTGTGATAATCTCTGCTTTGCGATACGAGCACGAGTACAAGTTGTATGTTTGAATTTTTTACAGTTTTTACTCTATGTGTTTTTTGATCTAATGTTTCTTTGTTTGGTGTAAATTTATCTATGCGATGGATTCCTTTTTATAAGTGCCATTTGGCTTAAGTATTGGAAATTTCTTTCTTTCTGATAAAAAAAAAAAAAAATCTTGACTGTCAAGAAGAGGGCATGCATGTGTACTCTGAGAAGGACTTTTGTTAATTCTCTTTCGTGATTTGTTGTACAGTTTCTCTTTAAATGTATTGTTATTATTTTCTGACGTAGGTGACTACTATTCTCTCTGCTTTGGTTGGTTGGGCTGCTCCTAGTCTGGTAAGCTATAGCAACCTACTACTATTATTATTATTATTATTATTATTATTATGAGGACGACTTATTTAAGCACCGTTTGAGAAGAAGCGTATAGGATTTTTTTAGTTTTTTTAGTTACAAAAGATAAAATAGATTATTGTAGTCATAAAAAATAAAATATCACATTTAATTCATAATCATTATACTATTTTCTCATAAAAAAAGGTTAAAAAAGTCAAAAAGTCAAAAATTCTTTCCTAAACTAAGCTTTTTAGCCCAAGTTAAAATAGTCAAAAAAATCAAAAAGCCAACCCATTTGGGAAGAAGGTTTCCAGGCTTTTTAGCTATTTTAGCCAAAAAAAAACAAAATAGGCTATTTTAGCCACAACAAACAAAACATCACATCCAACCCATAATCATTACACTCTTCTCTTACAAAAAAAAAGTCAAAAAAATCAAAAAGCCAAAAAGTCCTTTACAAACTAATCTTTTCAGCCCAAGCTAAAATAACCAAAAAAGCCAAAAAGCCAACCCACTTCCCAAACAGAGGCTTAACTTGTTTGGTTCTGATTTCTGGAAAAAAAGTTTTTTAAAAAAATCATTATTTTTTATATTTTAATGTTTTTAAATAATTTTTTAAATATTTTAATTATATATATTTTTTAATTTTTAGACACACCTAACATAAATACGCTTAAAAAAAAAATATTTGTGAATTTTTTTATAAAAAAAATACACTATATACCAAAAAATATAAAAATTCAATACATTTTTTGTATTTTTATATATTTATTAATTTTTTAAAATATTTTACTATTTAGATATATTTAAGTAAAGTGCATCTGAAAAAATAAAAAAAAATTACTTAAAATTTAAAAAATATTCATTAAAAACCAAAAAATGCGAAAAACAAAAAACATAATTTTCAAAAAATTGAAACCAAATGCACTGATTATTATTATTTTATAAGGGATGGGAAAACTGTATTCCTATTTTTTTTAGGTTTCCCACGGTATCCCCAGGTTTTTTGGACCCAGGACTAATCCGCCGAAGAAGCTGCCGGGCGCATATGCGGGGTCCTCTTCCAAGGGGATTTGCTGCATTCACAAAGACTCGAACTCGAGACCTTTGCTTAAGCGACCAAAATCCCTTTTCACTTGAACCAGTCCCATTGGTAAAACAGTATTCCTATTAGGAAAAGTAAAAATATGCTTGAATTCGAGTCTAATCCTTACCTAATACAACTTTTCTTTCTTTTATTTTTCTCAAATGAATGTTAAAAAATAAAAAAGACAATGCCCATTTTTCTTAAAATTCTCAATTTTTGCACAAATCACTACAAATCAAAATTTTTAATTTCAACCCATCAAAATCTAAAATTTTAACATTGTTAATATAATATTGTTAATTTGTTAATTGTATAGCTGTCTAGCTTTCTTGCTAATTGTATAGCTGGCTTCTTTCTGCTTTCGGTGGTAATGGATTGGCATCCAATGTACATTGCTTCTCTCTATAAAGAGAGAGTCAAAATTTTTAATTTCAACCCATCAAAATCTAAAATTTTAACATAAAGAACTACAAATTAAAATCCCTAATTAAGTAAATCAAAACATTTTATTTTTAGCACAAATAAAATATAATAAAAAATAATACGTCACCCCCTAGACCCTCAATAGCTCCGCCCGCCCTGGCATGAGTCATGACTAGAATAAATATAGTTCACACTTGTTATTTTTGGAGTAATCTTTCCAGATGTGTAATATTGCTTTTCCTTTTTTTTGTTTGGTGAAAAATATGGCTGATTTGAAAATACCAAAACACAGATTTCCAAGGAATGGGCTCATTACATAACAACCTTTCTGTTCTTTGGGTTTGGACTCTGGTCTTTGTGGGAAGCATACAATGAAGACGACGAGTAAGCCTCCCTCTTTTTTTCCTTTCCCCATTCTTTTCCCTTCCCTTCCCTTCCCTTGTTTCCCAATCCTGGAAAATCTTCGCATTTGAATTTTTATCATGCAAGTTTGGTTCTTGTATTACAAGACAAAGTAAAAAGGCTCTAATTCCCTTTCCTTCGACAGTGACAACGATGAACTGAAGCACGTTGAAAAGCAATTGGTTAGTCTCTTTCCATATTCTCTTTTATTAGCTATGTGTGGATAATGATTTATAAACATAAGTTTTATACACAAACTTATACAAAATGATGAGCATTTTTTGACTTGAAATCAAGGAACTAAGTTTATATGTAAAAATTATGTCTGCAAAACATTTTTTGTTGCCGCTTTTTTTTTTGTTTTTTGGGGGTCTCAACTACTGATTCTTTCTGGGATGACTAGAACGCTGATACGAAGGCCAAAACTGGAAAAGCCAAATCAGATGGCAAGAAGGTGAGGCCATACTTAGTAAACATGCAATGCCAAATTCATCCTGAAGGCTCTGTTTGGGAAAGAAAAAAAAAATTAAAAAAGGAACATAACTGGTCTTGTATCTCTTTCCCAGGGAGAGGATAAGGATTTCAAAAAGCAAAAGCGGGCATTTCTTAACTGCTTTTTCTCACCAGTTTTTTTGAAGGTCAGTTGTTCTTGATCCCTTTTTTAATAAGGGTACTATAGAATGTAGCATTTCACTGTGTTGTTTCTTTACACAGGCGTTTTCTGTTACATTTTTTGGTGAATGGGGCGACAAGAGCCAGGTACGTGGTTCAAGGACCCACATTTTAGTAATACTACAAACAAAGAAAGCTTTTATAGAAAAGTTCACAGAATATAGTTTTGCCTACACTGCATTCTCTGTACTTTTCTCTGTGGCACACAAACTGCTTTGAGACACATACAAACAAGCTGTGTTGCTCTATGGACCGACCACCTAGATAGATGAACGGGTTGTGATGTGATTGTGTTTTTCAGCTTGCTACGATCAGTTTGGCAGCAGATGAGGATGCTTTAGCGGTGATTCTTGGTGGAATTACGTAAGTCTTCTTACTAAACATATGAATCTTTCCCAAAAGGGTTGACAAGATGATCACTGATGACTCACTCCACAGAGTAAACTCTAGATATGATACTTGCGATCACCAGCAAATTACAACTTCACAATAGATTGAGCCTGGGAAACACCTCCTAAGATTGACTAAGTAGAGCAATAATAAGTTCTATGATAGTTGGTCAGGCATGCTATTTGCTCTAAAACCTTCACACAACCAAAAGAGCTTTCAATTAGGCATTTGGAGTTCATTACAGTAGAGGCATTACTCGTCATGAGAAAGAAGAAAAAAAAAATGGATTGTGACAAATCAGATTTAACTTAGGATTGACAAATCAGTTAACCATGGTGGCAAACATTGTGTACATGATGATTTATTGATATTCTTATACACAATGATTTATTTTTCTCTGTATTTGGATGTTATATCTTGTCCAGTGCGCAAACATTGTGTACTGTTGCAGCAGTTATTGGTGGAAAGAGCTTGGCATCTCGGATATCAGAAAGGCTGGTAATTTGCTTCTTGCAAAACTCATTTCTGGCACAGATTCTTAGGGGGTGTTTGGTGTGGATTATAGGGGGTGATTATAGCTTATTTTAATTTGAAAATTTGTGTCAGACTGTTTGATACAACTTCTACTTATAGCTTTTTAGGCAAAAATAATTTAAATAAACTGACAAAAACTGATTATTTAAAAACTGGGGAAAGGGTACTTTTAGTTTCTGCTTTCTAATTATCAGCTTTTAGCTTATAATAAGCTGTACCAAGCAGCACCTTTGTCTTGCTCCTTTTCTATCCCTGTCCCAAAACCCCTTTCCACCACACAATTAGGCCAAAATGATTCATCATGTGGCAGAGAGGTGGCTTGGAACAAGAAAAATAGGGGAATATCCAGACAGAAGATCCCACCTCTTACTTTCTGAACTAGCTTTCATGGATTTGTTCATACCCTTTATAGTGGTTTGATGTTCAACAACTTACATAATCTCATGTTTCAATGCAGGTCACACTTTTGAGCGGAATCCTTTTCTTGGCTTTTGGCGTCCTATCCTTACTCTCACCGGTAGACTAATAATGAGTTGCACCGCAAACAGTGAGTGCCTAAAACACCTGAACCCGTAAACTCATAGTCTATGCAATGTTTTGTTGGATGTGTTGTGTATATTTAACTCTCTTTAGACCTTGTATTGGTGGGGAATATTGTACACTGTAATATTTATATTTGTCTGTACTTTTGGTCATGGAGGTACCAACGGTGTAGTATTTGTTTGATTTTGAAAAACTTGAAAGGATGTATTACACCAGAGGTCATTGAAGTCAATACCTTTTCTAGTTTCTTCTAAACATCCACAAGCTCAAAATCTAGCAGAATATATATAACCGTAATACACAAATTGGAAGTATAAATGACACATGCTTTGATTTTTCCATGCAAAAACACAAGTTTCTCGAACAAGCCAATGCAAAATGAAGGTCATATAATGCAACTCCAATCCAAACAAGTTTGAATTAAATTAAAACATATTTAGGCATTGCAAATGTTGGCATGGAGGTTCCCAAATCTACAACTAGATCTGGTAAGCAGGTCCATACCTGCTGTTGAACATGCCAGCGTGCAAGAGCAACAAATACAGCAGCTGACTCAATGTTGATATCATGATAAGTGCTTCCAATGTTTGCTGCAATTCGGGCATGTCATTAATTACCATCATTTATGTATAGAGAGAGATTACAAAACATGCAGGTAATATGTTAATATCTCATTACCAATCTCTTTCCTCTGTGTCCTCCCATTGTGATCTCCTTGCATACAAGTCTGTAATTACAAAAAATCAATAAGTAAATAATTAGCAGTGCATAAAATGCAAGTGAAATTTTAATTGTGCCTCCAAGTTTTTTTGTTCTACAGGTACACAATAAAAGGTACTGCAATAGTTAAATTTTTTAAAAATGGTTACTTATTAGGACATTCTCTATGACTACTTAATCCTTTCAACTATATAATTTAACCCCTCAATTGCAAAACAAAAACCAAACAAAATGTCTCATGTGGTCAAAATGTAAAAGAAATTTAAGTGATAAGTTTTGTCAATGTCTATATAATAGACCCAAAAAAGAGGGAAATTTATATCTTCTTAAGTCTTTGTAGTTTTAATTGTATTAATTTTATTTTTAAAATTTTCATAGTGTGTTGATTTAGTTGAATACGTAAAGCCCATTAAGAAATTGGACAAAAGTAAAGGCAAAATTATTAGTGGTGAAGGGAGGCAGTGACATGGAAAAGATGAATTTCCTTGCCTGATTTCCATTCAATTTGTTTAAAAAAAATTATCAATAAAACAAAATAGCAAAACATCAAAAATTAAAGAATAAAATTGATATAATTCAAAATATAGAGACCAAATCCACACACAGAAAAAAGTAGACAGTTAGTCACAAAAAATAAATGCTTGAAAGTTGAGATGATGGAATCAAGATTGGGGTGAAATGAATATATAAATGAATGAATTACCCAAAAGCAACGACTGTAATAGCCCATGAAATAATTGCAGAAGAAGATGCACTGGATAAACTATCACTGGACCATGCTCGAAGATGCATGAGAGCTGCTAGAACAGAACAAGCACCAACGACCCCTCCGAGCAATGCAAATGTCAACATGAAGCTCGTTGCTTCATTCCCTCCTAAATCTGCACACACACACACAGAGAACTAATGATTCAAAAGAATTACCAGTAGGACTTTGTTGAGAGAGAGAGAGAGAGAGAGGTCACTGACGAGGGTGATTCTGTTGGCCATTGATGTATTTATCAAGGGACCATCCAGCAAGTCCAAGTAAAATGAGATATACCACAAAATTGACTATTAAGAGAGGTCCCATTAGGCTTCTACCTGCCCTTCCAATCGCCATGTATGTGTGTGTGTGTGTGTGAGAGAGAGAGAATAAATGGCCTTTGTTATTCCTTGAAGTGATGATGAGAAAATGTTGTAGGCTGTTGGGATAAATTATTTAATAATTTTGAAATATCACGTGGTCATATTTTAAATTAATCATCAATTATTTAACAGTGGTGCAATATGCATCAATTAATATATTAACTAATGTATCAACATTAATTATGACATTATTATTAACTTTACTCACTATATAAATTACAAATATCAAAAAAAAATTAAATTATGTCACATCAGTTGATACACTAATTGGTGTATATAATATTATTCATTATTTAATTTTATATTGTTATTCTATCTCCGTAAGCTCTTATGTCTTTCTATCAATCAAAATTTTATCAAACACCTTATTCATATTTTAAAAATACTGAATGATGATTGTACGTGGTTTCTTCGGATAGAGTAGCAATGTCTTAGAAATTGATTGAGTGGGGTGGTGATCCATCTTAATTGATTAATAATTAGTTAGCCTTTTTTGTTAGTTTTTTTAAGTTGAAACTTTTGGAATTAAAAAATTTATTTGGATTAGTTTTTAATTTTTTTTTTAACTTTTAGGAGAGAAAATTTAGTTTTTTTTAAGTTGAAACTTTTTTAGTTTGGAATTAAAAAGTTTATTTGGATTAGTTTTTTTTAATTTTTTAACTTTTAAAAGAGAAAAAATAAAATGATTATGATTTAAATATAACATATTATCTTATTAATTTATTTAAATTATTTTAATTTTTTGCATTTTTTATTCCTAACTAGCTTTGCCAAACGAAGTCTTCGTGATCTTCATTTGAAATTATTACACATTTTAACAAAAAATTATTCAATTTCATACTCTTTCACTAATCATTATACATCATATTCTCTTATATTTTTCAATCACCCAATACAAAATCATGATTCCTACTTTCTCCATCAATCATAACATCTACCGATTAACCATTTCATTTTAACACATATTCAATTTGACTTTTAAATTATGAGTAATGATAGAAAAATAAAAAATATATACAAACTAATAAAATAAATTTCTATCTATTAATTTTAAATTAAGATTGATTAAAATAAATTATAATACAATCACATTATTTTGATATAATTTTATAAATTATTTTTCTTCTTTTTTTTAATCTGATTCTTCCATGTTATGTATTTTCTGTTTGGTAGCATAAAATGAACGGTTTCTTTGTTGGTGAGTTTGACACGTGGCTCGCATGCATGAATCCACGGAGACACGTGGATGAATCCCACGTCACACCCTGGATTCTTACTTCTTCCATCTATGCTTTTCATTAAGGCCAACCCCACATGTTTCGCTTCACACAAATCAATCTGGTGGCGTTACTGAAACTGACTCATATTCGGGCCCAAATCCTTCTATGTTTTTTAGGAAATTGTTTTGCGACTCAAATTGATATAACTCGAATGATTCGAATATGTTAAAATGGTGTCGTTTTATATCTAAAATAACATTATTTTAAGTGTTTTGAGCCATTCGAACTATAATTTTTTGGACCTCCTATCATTGTTGTTTTTTTAATTACTCCCAACCCAACTCTCCAAATTTGTCTCAATTTTATTCGGAGTACAAATTTTAGCTCAAGCCCTAACAAATTTGAATTTTTATAGGCCAAGCTAAAAAAAAATCAGGATTTTTTTGTTGTTGATTTTTTCACACACGATATTTTTAGCTCATAGTGCAAATTTTTGACATGTCATGTTGACAAAATAAGAATTAGACATGAATTAAAAATAATACGACATAATAATACGAATAATAAATGAGTAAGATTAGTATTGAGACATGAAAGGATGCCTCACACTACTCTTTTAACTTTTTTTTTTTTTTTTTTTTTTGTCTTTATTGTGTTAAAAATGATGGTTATTAGGAGATGTACGGTGGAAAAAAAAAAAAAACTAAACTTGACACGGGTAAGCCCACAAATGATATAGCCCACCGTTTAGGGTCCAATACATAATTTAAATATTAAGGCCCGACGTTGTTGGAGCTCAACATGGCATTAAGAACCAATAGCACCTAAGCACGTGGCAAGAGAAGGACAAGCCACATAAGCAGACAAAGATCCTGCAAAGTTATTGCACTATACATCAGCCATTAATGAAGACCCTTACAGCATTTATTGCGATAAGCCCTCCCGTCGAGACAAAATGGCCTTACCATGAACAAGGCAAGCTAGAGCATAGACTTTCGGCCATGACGACAGGTCGGAAGAGATAATGAAATGATTACCAGAGGATATAAGTAGAGGTCGAAGACAAGAAGAAGGTTAAGCTCTCTATCTCTAGTCTATCTCTACATTCCATCTCTCTTTCTAACTTGCTCGTCGGAGGGTTCGCTGGGGGACTCCCCGTTCCCCGTTGAACTCTTGTGTAAGTTCCACTGTGGGCTGGATACCTCGAACTCTGGTTTGGGAAGCGTGGATCAGTCCGACCCGTTCCATCTGGAACACGCTGCATTATCAGTTGGCACCGTCTGTGGGAATCTTTTTGCTCCGCGCGCCAGTTGTGTTCATTGCCGCCTGAGACCCCTTCCCAATAACCCCTTCCTGCCACCCACCAAGGTGGATGGTCACGACTAGATCCATGGCTTCTCACCACAATGTTCCCGATCACCAAGCCGACCCTCCCAATCCAAACAACCCACCACAGTACTTCACCGAACTCACCAACAGCATTAACTGCCTCGCCGAACAAAACCAAGCCCTGATTAATGCTCTACTCCAAAGAAATCTTCTTATGCCCTCTCCACCACCTCCAGATATACCACCCAACCAAGAACGAGCCCCGAGTCATCTCGTCCAACAGCCCTACCTGCCTAACTTGGAGGGCTTGCAACCTTCTCCTCCAGACATGAACCCGCCTCCCCAGATCCCTCATCCGTCGGTCCAGGCACCCACCCCCGAAGGGGAGGCCAATAGTGTTCAGCCTCCATTGCATTTCGGTGGTGAAAACGTTCCTCTTTGGGATGCAGAACTCCAAGCCATGAAGCTCCAGCTCCAAAGAGTCATGCAGAACATGCAGAATAAACCATCCACCACAGCCAACTCATCTTTCATTGCCTCCATTAGGGACAAACCCTTACCTCCTAAATTCAAAATGCCATCGCTTGACTCTTTCGACGGCACAACGGACCCGGTCGATCATTTGGAAACTTACAGGACCCTCATAATCCTCCATGCATTCCCTGACGAAATCATGTGTCGCGCCTTCCCTGTAACTCTTAAGGGGTCGGCGCGACTCTAGTTCAGTCAACTGCCAGCAGACTCTGTCTCCACCTTCCAATACCTAAGCGACTCATTTCTCAGCCATTTCATTGGTGCCCAGTGCCAACGGCGTCTAGCAACCCAACTCCTCAATATCTGTCGAACTGAGGGGGAGTCGTTGCGTAGCTTCGTCACTCGCTTCAACACCGAAGCCCTACAAGTAGCGGAAAACGATGACAAGGTCATCCTTACGGCCTTCATGGCCGGTCTACGATCATCTGACTTCCTCTTCTCCCTCTCTAAAAACCCCTTACCTCCATGGCAACCCTACTTTCCAAAGCCCAAAAATACATGAACACAGAAGATTCCTTAGCCGCCCGACAAGATCCTGCAGCCAAAAACCCGACCCCTAGAGAGAAAAGAAAGGACTCTGAAAACAGAAACACCCAATACACTCACCCAACACCTCAATATACCGACCGACCACCCCGAGCCGACCGGTCGGCGCCAGTCCGACCCCCCGGCCGATTCGAACGATACACACCCCTCAATTCTCCATGGAACAAGTCCTCAACCAGATCCAACGAGACTATCCCCTAAAATGGCCCCAACTGTCACAGTCTCATTCCAATCGGCGAGACCAATCCAAATACTGCCACTTTCATCAAGACCACGACCATAATACCGAGGAGTGTGTTAACCTCAAAGACCAGGTTGAGGGTTTGATACGTCAGGGACATCTTAGTCGGTTCATGGCAGTCCGCCCTCAACAAAGGCAAAAGACTGAACCTATCAGAAACAACCGCCGGTACGCCCCTCCTCGACAACCTGCCTAATGTAACCGAGGTCATGATAGACCTCCGCAGCAACCACAGGCACAAAACAACCCTGTCCCCCTTGTCGGAGAGATCAGAGTTATTGCTGGCGGGCTCGTTTGTGGAGGACCATCCCGTTCAGCCTAGCGGGCAGAACTCAGAAAAACAAGGCAGGGCTCAGATAAAGAAGTTGCCACACTGGACCGCCCTTCGAAACAGCCCAAGCAGTGGATGGAGCCCATCACGTTTACGGAAGCCGACTGCACAGGCATCTGTTACCCTTATGACGACCCCCTTGTCATCTCTACTCTCCTCTCCAACTACAAAGTCAGACGGGTTCTCGTCGACAACGACAGTTCTTCAGACATCATCTTCCTCAATGCCTTTCGCCAGCTCAAGGTTGGGGAAGGAAGTCTGTTCCCTCTCCAAACCCCACTGGTAGGCTTTACTAGAGATCGCGCGACCTCCATCAGCTCCATCGATCTTCCCATCACAATCGGAGAATACCCACGGCAGACCACAAAGTTTCTCACCTTCCTCGTCGTTGACTGTCCCTCTGCTTACAACATCATCCTCGGCCGCACTGCCCTAAATGCTTTCCAAGCTATCACATCCACTTTCCATCTTGCCATCAAATTCCCCACCGACCTTGGGGTTAGCACAGTGAGGGGCGAGCAAACCATGGACAGGGAATGTTACGTCACTTCACTTAAAGAGGTCAAGCTAAAGGAGGCTACGATCATTGAAGGGCTCGACGTCAGGGACGAGGATGAGTTGGTCAGAGGGGAACCAGTGGAAGAGCTTGTCGAGGTCCCCATCGATCCCACCAACCCGACAAAAATCGCCAAGATCGGCAGCCAATTATCCTCCCAGGCCAAGGCGGTCGCCCTTCTGATTGAGCACAACGACGTATTTGCCTGGACCCACTCTGACATGCCAGG